CCTCTCAAAGGCTTTGAGATAACTGAGGGTTGCTGGGGTGTATGTATGACCTTTACCCAGCATGGGTCATGCCTTCTCTTCCTAGCCTTCCCCAGATTGTATGCTTTAGCCCTCCCCAAATCCAGGGGGGCATGTGTGATTAGGGTCAAATTACATACAGTTGCCTGGGAAGAGTGGCTGGATTTATTTATTTTTATTTTATGTGTATGAGTGTTATCCCTGCATGTGTGTAAATGCACCCATGTCATGCAGTGCCCATGGAGGACAGAAGAGGGTGTTGGATCCCCGGAACTGCAGTTATGGATGGTTGTTAGCTGCCATGTGGGTTCTGGGATTGGAGCCTGGGTCTGCTGCAAGGGCAGCCAGTGCTCTGAACCACTGACCAATCTCTTCAGCCTCCAAAGCATATTTTTTAAGCTATTTACTCAAGCTTATTAGTTCCACTTCAGTATTTTCTTTTTGTTTAAAATTAATATTTTTTGATGTTTGGTGATAATATAATCTTCAAAGCAAAAATACAAGCACTTTTTAGAGGCCTACCTCTCATACTTGTAGTAAGCTTTACAAAGTATTAAATTCAGCCTTAGTAGTTTTATTTATAGGCGAAATAATTGACTATGACCTTTATAAACCAAGAGATTAGAGCAGATTTATGCTTTGTGTTATATATAATCCACTGATTAAAAACTAATTTCAGAGTAGTGTTCATGAGACTTAAAAAAAATGCTATGTCATGGCCAGATAATACACTGAATGGGCTATTATATGTGGATTAAACTGCTGTATTTTTTAGGTAGATTTTTAAAAGTATAATTATTTTATGAAATTACACATAAGTAGTACTCAATTATTTTTAGAGATATTGAAAGAAAACCTTAAATAAATCAGCTACAAATCCCTTGAAACTTTTTGCTTTAATAGAGAAAATGTTTAGATTTAACTTTATAGTTAATATAAAATGCTTAATAAATCAGAGATTGTATTTCATCTCTTTCTAGGTTTGTATAGTTAGGAATTATGGATGAAATTTTCAATATATATAAAGCATTTTACAGATGCAAGATTATAACAAAATATTATCTCAAAAACTTATAGTAACACAGAGACTTTATTTTTGTGAAAATCTTTATTCATTTGTCTTGTCCAAGTGAAATTAGCTATCAAAGTTGAATTCCAGGAATTTTATTTTTTTGTGAAAATATTTCTTCATTCATTTGTTGCCCAGTTGCAATTAACTAATGTTAAATTCTAGACTGGGTTTGTATGGCCCATTCTCCAGCTCACAACCATTTTTTGGTAAAGTTTTATTGGAATACAGTTGCGTCATTTGCTTATATATTGTTTATTAGTGCTTTCTTCTTGTGAAGGTCAACTAGGGGAGTTACACTAGAAGTCACATGGCATGGAGAGCTAAAGTATTTATGCTTGTGCCCTTTATGGAAGTTTACCCACCCCTGTTCTGTGTTATAGTAGATACTTTTATAGGTCTTTGTAATTTAATAATTTATATTTTGACGTATCAGTTTTCTCATAGTGCTTACATATTTACAGAACGGCAGAGGTGTGCTCTTTGGATTAGAAAACTCTGTGAGCCTTCAGGAACAGGTGCAGGACTTATGGGTAGGAAGAATCGGAACCTGTATGCAAAACTGTTACTGCATATGCTTAAGCGAGGCATACTCGAAGGTCCTTTTATGCACCGCCCTGAACCAGGAACACTAAAAACATTACCATCATATATGGTAAGTACTATTGACCACAGTGTATTTGTTTCATTTCTTTAAAAGTTAAGTGTAAGTTGTTTATTTATTTTAAAAATTTATTTATTTTCATTTTTATGTGTGTGAGTGTTTTGCCTACATGGATGTATGTACACTGCATGCATCACTATCCAGCAAGGCAGAAGAGAGTGTTGGATTCCCTGGAGCTGGAGTTAAACACCGTTGTTAGCTGACATATGGGTGCTAGGAACCAAACTGGGGTGTCCTAGAAGAGCAACCAGTTCTGTTACCACTGAGCCATCTCTCCAGTTCCTAAAAAAAATAGTTTTTGCTTTTTTGAGACAGGATCTCCTTATGTAGCCCTGGCTGGGTTGGAACTCTTTATGTAGACCAGGCTGGCCTCAAACTCACAGAGATCTTCCTGCCTCTGCCTCTCAATTGCTACAGTGCTGGGATTAAAGGCATGACTCAACCACACCCAGTGTGAGTGCAATTTATCATTCCTTTTGGGAATGGTAATACTATTAGGTTGTATGTGATAGATAATACATTAGTTAAGAATTTTCTTCTTTGATTCAATTTGTTCACTTTTAATAGGAAACATATTTCCCTCTTATTTTATTCAATTATATCTAAAATAATAAAATGAATTAATACTGACCTTAATTTCTTACTAATTTTCATTGTATTGTAATAACAGTTTGAGTATTATAACAGTTTAAGTATTTCAGTAAGTTCTAGTTTATGAAATTCTTTCAGATACACTATTTTAAAACTTATTAGTTGAATGACTTTTATAAGTTCCTTTCTACTCTTTTGATAATATTAAGTTGGCATTTAAAAATGATTTTCTGTACTTGATTTAATTTTCAGCTATGCTGTAAGATAGTGATTTTTATGGTTGATGATGAATTGTCACTGTCTTGTTCCCTATAAGCATAAAATATACCTTGTTTTGTGTAGACTATGAATATTTGAGAAATATGACTAGAACAACAAAGTATAATTGCATGTGTGTATATATATATATATACATATATATGCTGCAAAATTCTTGTGAAGTGTAGGAGTTTTCTATATTTTGTCAGTTTACTAAATGCTAAATTTAGTTACAAGGCACGCTACATACCAGAGGATAACTCCTTTTGTTGGTGGCTGAATGCCAAAACTTTTAATGCTATTATTTATTGTAAAAGTAGTGTCAGACATTTTGCTTAAGCTAAGATCAGTTGTTCTGGGGATAGTAGGTAGCTGACTTTACATGTAGGTAGATGTTAGAATGAATACAGCAATCTGTCTGTTATCTGTGGGATATACATTTCAAATCACTGTCCATACTGGATGCCTGAAGCAGCAGGTAGCACTGAATCTTCTGTACTAGACTGATGCCTGAGACAGCCAATAGGTAGGAAGTATACACTGTGTGATATACTTGACTGGATGCAGTGGGACAGATGATGTGAATTTATTATACTTAGAACAGCACCTGATTTAAAACTTATTATTTCTGCAATTCCCCATTTAATGTATCAGGCCATGGTTGACTGCAGATAGCTAAAACCATAGAAAGAGAAGCTATGCATAACCATGGACTATTGTATCTCATTGAAAAAGAAATCACCCTGCATTTCTGACCTAGGATAGAGGGGTCATGTGTCACTACTCCCTGGAGAATAGGTCCTGGAGGATTTCTATGTAGGACCGGGAGAATTGTTACACAAGTGTAATTTTCTTCACAAATAAACCATTTAACTTGCCTCATTGAAATTAATTGGCTAATGTCATTCTCAGTGACTAAAATAGTTTTATGAAGTTCATTCAAAAGTGAAGATACCAATATACTGTGTCTTTTTTTCTCATTCACAATTTCATAGAGTTGTAGGGAGGGACTTTATTTCATAAATAATAATGAGAAGGCCTGGAGATTTGTTGGGGCATCTCAGAGAGTTAATAATATGGCCAGAACTAAATGCTATGTCTCTGACTGTGTAGTTCCTACCTCATTAAGGGAGTCCCAATTTTAATATCTGATATGTTTTGATTATTATTTCTCCACCTACAGATTTTGTGTATGTTAAGTGTATGTGTGTGCAAAGTAATTGATGGTTACAGGAAGAAATGGGGTAGGACATGATTTTTAAAAAGTTTTCCATTTTCTTTTGGTAAAGCTGATATCACTCTTTAAAGAAGTAACTCTCAGATATGTCTCTCCTGTAATGCTTCTTTTCATTAGATTCTTTATATAAAAGAAAATAACTAAAATGTAGATATATTATTCATCTTATGTTAATGTTTCATAATTTGTTGTGTTTTGAGTGATAAATTTTATATATTTGTATGTAATTAGATTTAAATTGAATATTAAAAAAACTATCAAACTTGAAAGTTGTTTGAAATTTTAAGTGTTTCTTTATAGTACATTTTGAAAGAATGATTTCTTTAATTTTTAAAAAATCAGTCGATCTATTTTGATGAACCAAGTCCAGGACGACCAAAAGGTTCAAGCCCAGAGAGGCTACCTGACTGGGTAGTCGGTGAGCTGGAGACAAGTGAGCAAAGATTAAGTGAATCATGGAAATTTTCTTCTGAAGAGGATAACGCATTGGTGCTATCGGCAACGGATGTCCACAGGTATGCTGTGAAAGTGGGGTTTCCAATGCTTTGTTCTCATTTAGTTGATGTTTTTAGAACTGGTTCGTAAGTTCCAAAATGGTGTAGCTGTATTCTAATAAAACTTTTACAAAATAAAGTATTTTTTTTCTTTTTAATGTTATAGACTTGGTTTACTTTTGTCTTTTTGCTAAATTTAAGAGTTGTGAATGGATGTTAGTCATATGTAAGATTATTTTATATTTTTATTCACTTTTATGAATATTTGTTAACTTTATATATCTATAGCTTTAAAAAACTTGATTTAGTTATTTTTATTTTATGTGTATGTGTGTTTTGCCTGTATATATATAAGTACACCATGTACATGCAATGCCCACAGTGGTCAGAAGAGAGTTGGAGCCCAGGGAACTGGAGTTACTGATGGTTGTTAGCTACCATATGGATGCTGGGAACCAAACCCAAATCATTTTCAAGGCTAGCAAGTGCTTTTAACCACTGAGCTATCTCTCCAGCCCCATTTACCTATATCTTTATGCATTTTGTTGCTTGAAAAATGTACCTGAGAATCTTTAATAACACTGTTATGTGTTTTCCTTTATGATAGCATTAATTAAGAAACATTATCAATGACTTCAGCATAATATAATACTCTACACATTCATGTTGAACCTTATGCTTGAATTATCTCCCCTCCACCTCATTGATCAATGGTTGCTTTCATCTAATGAAACAAGAATACAATTGTAGAGGCTGGAGAGATGGCTCAGCAATTAGGAGCACTGGTTGCTCTTGCAGAGAACTCCGGTTCACTTTCCAGCACCCACATGTGGCTAACAACCATCCTAACTTCAGTTTCAGGGGATCCGATGTCTCTTCTGACCTCCATGGGCATTGCATCACATGGGTACACTTACATACATGCAGGCAATACACTTATAGACATAAAATAAAATTTTAAAAAATTAAAAAGAATATAATTATAAATTCCATTAAACTGTATAAATAAGAACAAGTCTCTAAGTTTTAAAAATATACCAAATTATTGCTGTAATAATTTGGTTTTTAAGAGTGATAGACAATTTTGAGTTTTTATTCAATTTTGATCTTTGTATTGATGCTGGAGTTCCCAGAAATTTAAAATACTGGACAGTACCAATTGAAATGTGCCACCCCTCATACTTCACTCCTGACCATTCTCTTGGTAATTTTAATTTGTTGTAATTTTAATTTTATGAATTTGTTTCTTTTGACAATGTGCCCTTTCTTGCCCACTGTATTTTCTTTGTTGTATTTCTTAATCAGATGTGAACATATTATTAGTGATTTGAAATGTCCATTGTAGATGTAGTCTGGTTGTGTGTCTTTCATACTTGAGATACTATAATGGGAAAGAACAGTTGAGCATAAATTAAGAGTCTAGAAATATTATGAGAAAGAGGAAACATTAGAATGCAGAGGTAGTGAAGGAAGACATGATAGCATTAAGGACATATTTAGAAGAATAAAAAGAAATGAATCCATGAATCCATAGGATATGGTATTAAATACTTAATTTAAAAAAATATTTAAAAAAATAATTTATTGAGAATTTCATGCATGCATGTGTTTTGATCAAATCCATGACCACTCCCTCCCCTCGAACTCCTCCCATTATCTCCCCATCACTTTTCTATGATAACTTCATGTACTCTTTCTTCTTCTTTAATTTTTTTATGGGGCTTTTTGCTACTCTAACATTTCCCCCTCTGAAGAGGTAACCCTAAAATCGTTTAAGGATTAGATAAAATCTCCCAAATACTTTTGACATTTTTGGCCTTTGGAACGGAGTATGTGGCTTAGAGGCCCAAGGACATTTTGACTTTTAGCCAAGAAACTGGCTACTTTTCTTTGGGTCTTTTTACCCTAACTGCCTAGCCAATTCCTACCTTCTATTCTTATCACACCATCCTCTGAAGAGGTTACCCAAATTGCCAATAGGGAATCGGGATGCAGACTGCTCTGGCTTCTTCCATGCTGAACAGGGGGGGACACAGGGTGAGGCAATTGGGATACCTGTTCAGTGAGTCTATCTAAAAGACTCCCAAATTGCATAACTCTTTGTGTGTGTGTGTGTGTGTGTGTGTGTGTGTGTGTGTGAAGGAGAAGTAAAGGCAAGAGTAATTATTAGCATTACAAGTTCTAGACAGGGAACTAGAAAAAAGTCAGAACACAGCAATTTTCAGATGTCCATATGAGAGTCCATTGGAGTTTTTTAAGAAACTTTTATAGTGGTGCATTGTAAAGAACTTAGTTACATGATACTTATGCAATACCTAGAAAAAATTGCTGATTTCACTTTGATATGTAAATTCAGTCAAGACAATTCATTCAAGAAAGTCACAACTGTTCAAAATGCTGAGAATAATCAGTTGTGAGTAAGGAGTCATCAATGGGAGATAATAGGGAGAGAAAACAAATTTATCCATCATTTTAGGACAATAGCTGGTTGCCTCCCTTAGCTACAGATGTGCACTACAGTATTGCAGACCAAGATTTGAAGTCTTACATCTGAGCAGCACTTTCTGATTCAGAACAAAATCATCAATGAGAAATAATTGTCTAAAAAGTTATTATATGGACTTAAGCCTAATGTCTAGGAAGTGTAGTCCCTTGAACTCTTAAAGAAATATGCTAATGACATTACTCTTTGGTTATACTTTCCTTTTGGGTGTTTAAGACCATCCTGCTCGACCATGTCTGGCTTCACTTGGAAGCATGGATGAGATGTTTCTTCTGAGTTGACCCTCCTCTTTGTAGACTGGACACTGGTTCAAGTCCATCTCATGGGGTCTCTATGGCCTCACTGAACAAGAGGACAGGTGACTCACCACAGTTACAGGACATTTTGAGAAATGTTCCATAGCCCCCTGGAACTTAGTAGACCTTGGGGGGCAAGGGGCAAAAACTGTCCTTTAAGTCCCTCTCACCAGACTAGTATAGGCCTCAAAGTATGGCTGTTAAACATCCAATAAGGTTAGTTCCACTGGTCTGGTACTTTTAATTACTGTGTGCTGTGTAGATAAAGCTTGGGTAAAAAACCAAATATTCTCAGATAAATCTTGACTAGATATATATTTTGTTCCTTAAACTAGTTGAATAAACTATGACCTTAGAAATTTCAAAATTATGTGTATATTATTCTTGTCTCATCCTTTGCATATCATAGCAAATCTACACAGACCTTCATCTCTTGCTAAGGCTTTCTCATTTTTTCTATTTTGGAAAATATCTCCATTCTGATATCTTTTTTAACATCTTTTACATTCTCGTATCCTTTTAACATCTTTTATATTCTAATTTTCTTTTTTTTTTTAAATATGAGACATAATAGCATTAACAAATAAATTTTCCATCCGTTGTGAGAATTCTTTTCCTGGGGATACTAAGCAATGCTTATTCCCTTTTAAGGTTCTAGTGTCAAGCCAATGTTTGATTAAAGTTTTACTGGGGAACCAATGAATGTACTGAGCTAAATGAGGGGTTGCTGAGGTGTATGTATGACCTGAGGGTCTGCACACTGGAAAACCTTTACCCAGCTTGGGTCAGGCCTTCTCTTCCTAGCCTTCCTCAGACTGTATACTTTAGCCCTCCCCAAATCCAGGAGACCATGTATGATTACAGCCAAATTACATATAGTTGGCTGGGAAGAGTGACTGGATACTACCTTCGGTGAGGGTCCAGTGACCCTGCTTGGCCCTCCTTTAATGAAGGTGAACAACCATCAACAAGCCCAATTGTGATGATGTTTAGCAAGCAGGCTCAGCTGAAGTAGTGATGATGGTAGTTATTTCATGGAGAAGGGACTGCTGTATAGCATCATCTTATTAAAAGGACCTGGAATTTAAAAGGATTTGGAGTTAGGATCCACATATGAGGGAAAGCATATGTTGTGTTTCTGAGTCTGTGTTACTTCCCTTAGTATAATAGTTCCTAGATCCATCCATTTACCTTCAAACTTCATTATTTCATCTTTCTTTACTGCTGAATAGAACTTCATTGCATAAATATACTACATGTTTGTCAACTACTTGTCAGTTGAGGGACACTTAGGTTGCTTCCGTCTCTTAGCTATTGTGAAAAGAGCAGCAACAAACATGGTTGTTCAAGTTTCTCTACAATAGGATGAGTCCTTTGGGTATATGCCAAGGAGTGGTATAACCGGGTTGTATGATAGGTTCATTTTTAGTATTTTAAGAATTCTCCACACTGTTTTCCATAAGGGTTGTATGACTTTGCAATCCCACCAACAGTGAATGAGTGTTCCACTTTCTCAACATCCTTGCCAGCATTTGGTATCATTTGTTCTTTTGATCCTAGCCAGTCTGATTGGAGTAAGGTGATACCTTAGGGTGGTTCTAATTTGCATTTCCCTAATTACTAATGATGTTGAACACTTTTTGAGATGTTTCTTAGTCATCTTTATTTCTTCCTTTGAGAACTCTCTGTTTAGATCTTTAGCCCATCTTTTAATTGGGTCATTTGGTGTCTTGATTCTTTGTTTTTTGAGTTCTTTATATATTCTGGATGTTAAACCTCTGTCAGATGTGTCACTGGTAAAGATTTTTTTCCCATTCTGTGGGTTTTCTCTTCACTTTTTTTTATTGTTTCTTTTGCTGTACAGAAGCTTTTTAGTTTAATGAGGTCCCATTTGTTGATTGCTGACCTTAATTCCTGAGCCACTTCTGTCTGATTTAGAAAATCCTTTCCTACACCTATATCTTATAAGTTATTGCCAATATTTTCTTCTAATAGTTTCAGGGTTTCCAGTTTCACATTGAGGTTTTTGATCCATTTGGAGTTGGCTTTGTGCAAGGTGAAAGATAAGGTTCTAGTTTTATTCTTCTATAGGTAGAGATCCAGTTTTACCAGCACCATTTTTTGAAGGTGCTCTCTTTTCTCCATTGAGTGTCCTTGGCACTTTGTCAAATATCAGGTGCCTGAAATTGTGTGCACTTAGGTTGGATCTTCAGTGATGTTCA